GTGTCCTATAGCAGGACTATGGGACTGTGGCGGGCATTCTGACACTGGGGGGAACTGACTTGGTGTCACTGACATCCCCTTTGACACCAATACAGTGATCAGTGCTAATAAAAAGCACTGACACTGTACTAATGGCACCAGGCAGGAAGGGGTTAACATCTGGGGCGATCAAAGGGTTAACTGTGTGCTGTGTGTGTTTCACAGTGTGCTGCTGTGCGAGTGCTTTCCACTGTCGCACACTGCTTTCTATGGCTCTGCTATTCAGAGCCATAGAAAGCAGTGTGCAGGAGCTGACAGGGGAGAGATCTTTATTGTTTATACACAGGTCTCCCCCCCCCCGTCAGAGATACCCAGTGATCACCAGGTGCTGGTGAGAAATCAATGGGCGGGACCCGGTGATTGACAGTTGAGGCTGTGAATGGTGGCATGGGTAGGGCATGGCGTGCCCCCTACCCAGAACTGCAAAATCATGTACAGTATAAGTACCTAAAATAAATAAAAAATAAATTCCTGTACTGCCCCTGAAAATCCTTCTCTCGATACCTCTGTGGATCAGAAGGCAGGCTCTGTGAAATGTGTGACACAGCAGTACCTATTCACAGGACATAGTGAATACAGGTTACAGACTCTCAGGAAGTAATGTGTATATTTTATATATTCAGGAAGTCTTTTAATCTTTATCCAGTCTATCCCGTGTTTACATTAGAATGGATAGAGATTAAAAGGCTTCCTGAAAATATAAAAGACATCAAAGTGAAATGCCATCTACTTATCCAGTCACAAATTACTGCAAATACTATCATCTTATTGACATGTTCATTGACAGTTGTATCTGTCTCCGCAGTCTTGTTTCTCTATCTGTGACAGCCCTGTCTGGATGGACTCCAGTACAAGTGCAGAGTGCCACCACCTTGAAAAGTCTGTTGGTGGGCCCCAGGAACTGGCTAACATTACTGGATCAAGAGCATATGAGGTAAGTGCGGTGACATAAGCCATATTTTATGGAAGTACCCCATCTGATATTTGTAGGGAGTGAATGCCTTGCCTCTCTTTTCCCCTTTTCCTAATTAATATTAATACAAAATGAGGAGGGGCATGGGCAGCTTTTCAGCTTGTTTCATATAGAGGCAATCTGCTAATCGCTGGTGCAATGCTTTACAGATTCCTGCAACAAAAAAAAATATTAAATGCACATTTTTTTTTTTACTTGTAAAAGGTGTACTTATCGTTAGGGTACTTTCACATTGATCCACTGCAAAGGCACGGCAAAAACGCATATGCCTTTTTGCCATGTTTTACAGTGCTTTTGCTGTGCTTTCTGAGTGTTTTTTTTAAAGGACATGTGACTTAAAAACAGCACCAAAACCCCTTCTCAGAGGCGTTTTTTTCAGGAGCTTTCCATTGATTTCAATTGGAAGAGGCGTATTCGGGGTGTTTTGTTTACCTGAACAAAAATGTTCCAAAGATGCTGCAAGCAGGAGTTTTTACACCACAACGGAAGCACAACGCCCCAGTGTGAAAACATACATAAACCAAACATATGGAAGCATTTTTCTTGTTCAGGTGCTTTTTTTAATGCAAAAACACTTCAAAAACTCCTCAGGGTGAAAGCAGCCTCAGACTTAGTTCACACTACTGCTGCCTGAAAGTTGCATGACTTGCAGTGTGACTTTGCCAGGCAACTTGAGTGCTACTTTTAAGGGACTTTGAAGTGACTCTGAAGCAACTTTCAGGGAATGCCTGGGTAATCTTCCTATGTTGGATCCAAATCACATCGATATAGATGAGGATCCGACTTGGAGGCAACTTCTATTCAAGTATATGGACACAAATCGTAGAGAAGTTGCCTTGAAGTAGTACAGGAACCTTTTCTAAAGCCAGAGTGACTTCAGTAGTCCTAATTAAGATGGCTCTCATTGACTAACATGGGATTTCACATGTCATGCGACTTGGGATTTCACAAGTCAGACCCAAGTCACGGCAGTGTGAACCGAGCCACTGCCGCAACTTGGGATCCAACTTGGGATCCCAAGTCGCATGACATGTGAAATCCCATGTTAGTCAATGAGAGCCATCTTAATTAGCACTACTGTAGTCACTCCGACTTCAGAAAAGGTTCCTGTAATACTTGTGTCCATATACGTTAATAGAAGTCGCCTCCGATGCTCATCTATATTGATGTGATTTGAATCTGACTTTACAGGAAGATTGCCCAGACATTCCCTGAAAGTTGCTCCAGAGCTGCAAAAGTACTCAAAAGTACTTCAAAGTAGTACTCAAGCCGGCTGGCAAAGTTGCACTGCAAGTCACATGACTTTCAGGTAGCAGTTGTGTGAACCAAGGAGAGTGTTTTTATCGTATCTCCCTGATATTCTCTCCTTTCTCCTTCATTGGCACTCTGTGATCCTCAGCACTGTTAAGCTTCTGCCAGCCTTCTTCTCTGTCTTGTCTCCAGACATACAAGCAATGCTGGAAATGTACATATTTTAATTACAGAAAGTGACATTATAGTTTGGAGACCAAGGAGAGGAGGAGATTTTCCAAAAAGGAAGTGCCTGCTCTGGGCTTCAACAAAATGGCGTTCTCCAGCAAGAACAAACAGGAGAAAATGTATAGCACACACTAATTTTGGTAGTATAACTATTAATGTTGAATGTATGTTCTTTTGTTAAAGAACATTCATTGTTATCAAACTGTTTTTAGTAAAGTTTGCTTTAAATATTTCCAAGAATGATAATATAATCGTTCAAATAAAGAGGAAATTTAATGATCCTGTTGTAAAATTGTAGTGTGAATTATGAACATAACTGAAAATAGCAATAGTCTAAAATTAAGTGGAACACATAAAACTAAACCAAGCCCAATTCAATGTATTATTCTGCAAAATGTAGGACTGTGGAAATCAACAGATCAAATCCTGCCACCTAGTGGATAGACTGGGAAACTTATTTGGGAATTTTACAGTCTTGACATACAGTATGTACAACTCTGCTTACTATGGTAAAATGGGAAATAAACCTCTTGTTTTGGAATTTGTGGTGGAAGAAAGAATGAAGACATGTAGATACCTTCTTTAAAATAAAAAAAAAATGCTGTATTGTGCTTTGCTGCTGTATATATGTCCTATGTATTGGTCTGTTTTTTAAGTTTTCTTTTTCTGCTATCATTCAGCGTTTCACAGGAAATCAGATTGCAAAGATTTACAAACAGAAACCAGAAGCATACTATAAAACGGAGGTTAGCTGACTTTTATTTTTATTCTGTAGTATAAACTTCAGGCAGATAAATGTGCATTGAAATACATTCATGAGTAGTCACAAAAGATATAAATCCACGTATATAAGCCGAGCACAAACATATGCACTTGTTTCACTAATATGGGACTGGTTTATGATATGTTGAATATATGCACATGTTTATGATTATGCGCGGTCCATTTGTTTTTTCTAGAAATCCACTTTGTGTGCACCGAATGCCTTTGTAAACCCAGATATTTCCTTATATTACAAGTAGCTGTGACATCATCACTGTGCTGTACATAGTCAGGAGCAGAGTTGTGGGAGGGACCCAGCAGGCTCCATCCACAACAGGATGCCTGCATGAAACTACAGGAGTGGTGGATATTAGACCAGTCACCCTGGACCAGGAGAGAGGAGCCATGAGTAGTCTTTACTACAGTAAACTCCTGCACAGGAGCAAAGCAAGGTTTCATGCAGTTCAATAAGAAATACAAAAAAACCACAGGGAGTCAGGTAAGATTTCACATGCCTCTTGTTAAGTTCTACCAAACACAAAGAAATTGATAGCATTTGAGAAGATTGAAACAATATTTGTTTCACCTGGAGTTCAGCTTTATCCTCTTCCCACCCATCCTTGGTCCCTTTTAAAAGTTCTGAACACCCAGGGGGTGAGAGGTATCGATGATCATGTGACCACTAGATATAAGTTGTGTAGCGAGCGCTTACTGTAATTACAATTTGATACAAGCCGCTAGAACACCAAAAAGGTAACCAACATAACCTTCCAAGATAATATATAAACAATAAATGTGCAGCGCTATTAATTATATATAGATCATGTGACCACTGTTATTGGCTATCACAATGGTCACATGATTGGGAGCTGATCCCGCCACCTACTGATTGTTAGTGGGGACCAAGAACTGCTTTTGACAATTTAGGTCTCTATGCTGGGAGTGTGCTTCCAACCAGGGCCGGTGCTTCCACTAGGTAAACTAGGCAGCCGCCTAGGGCGCACTGTTACCTAGGGGTGCCTGGGCGCAGCTCAGGCCGGCACTCTCTCTGTGTGGAATGCCGCCACATCATGAGTGATCCTTCGGCTGAAGGGAGGGGCAGCAGAGGGGAGGAAGAGAGGACAGATGCTGGGTGTCTGGGGCCAGTGTAGCAGCTGAGCTGCCACTCCTTCCAATGTTCCTCTGAGACTCAGTCTCTTACTGCAAGCTGGCTGGCGGCTGCTGATCACTGTGGAGTTCCAGCCCTTCTCTTCACATTCATCAGAGGAGGTGGAACTGCACCTGCGGAGGAAGGTCATGTCTAACTCTAATGTCTGGTGTCTGTGTGAGTGTGACTGAGCCGGAAATCCATCACATGTGCAATGTGTCAGTGAGTGATGACATCATCATGATCACACATCCTGCTCTTCCACTTCTTGCTGGGCCTGCTGATCTGTGTCAGTGCTGGTGGTGGTGTGTTGTGTGTCAGATCTGTGTGGGATCACTTAGTTCAGCTGCTTGCTGTCACAGCGTTTTATCTCCCCTCATTGCCTGGGGAATTCCATCCTGGGATCTGTCAGAGTGGATCTATCATTCTCCACTCACTGCAACTGTTACCCTGCCACTGCCAGCCACAGATACAGTCTGTCCATGACACTGATTTTTTCTTTAACCACTTCCGTGCCACCCTATAGCAGAAATACTGCTACAGAGAGGCACGGGTGCGCAAAACCACGTATATAAATGTGATTTTGCAGTTCCGTGTAGGGGGCACCACCATTCGCGGCCTCGGCTGTCAATCACCCGGTCCTGCCCGTTGATTTCTCACCGGCACACGGTGATCGCCGAATATCTCCAAAGGGGGAGAGACCTATATGTAAACATAAAATGGAGTGTGCAGCGCTATACAGATAAACACACTATCATAGATATGGCAAAAAAGAAGAAGTCCTGTAAACTGAATGGTAAACAGTCCGAGGTAATATATATGATTTCATTCCAAATGGGTATATTCCAGTGATGCAGTATATATGACTTCAATCCAAATGGGTATATTCCAGCATCCTGACATGAAGGTGTAGAAAAATTGCCCACTCACTGGAAGTGCAATTTTAATGTGCACATAGAAATTCCATGTAGCTGGAGGTCTTGTGAAGGTACAGCCTGATGATAAAGATATCCTCTGGTGGTTATTGAGGTGACAGCTGCCAGGGATGATGGTCTGGACCTATTTCCCAAATCCTCCAGCCTGGGTGGACTCCTGGAATGCTGGGCTGAGATGTGAAGGCTCAGTGCCAGGTAATAGAGATGAAAACGCTCATGGTGTAGTAATGTAAAATTTATTATGAAATAGTATGGTATAAAAATAATATGGTATAAAATAAGCGTACAGGGTGATTGTAACTTATACAAAAAATCATGAGCTCTTGAATACACTGACCAGTGGATAAATATGATGGCCACCGGACCTCCTGATCCGGGGGTGTGACGTCAAGGCGTGCAGAGGCTCCTCCTAGACGCGCTTCGTGTAATAACACGTCTCCTGTAGGGGTGATGCCAATACCTATATGTAAACAATACAGATCTCTGTCAGCCACTGCACACTGCTTTGCATAGCAGAGCCATACAAAGCAGTGTGCTTACAGTGAAACACAGCACACAGCCTCATAGTAAAACAGCACACGGTTATCCCTTTGATCACCCCAGATGTTAACCCCCTTCCTGCCATTTGACATTAAAAAAGTGTCAGTGCTTTTTATTAGCACTGATCACTGTATTGGTGTCACGGGGTGTCAGTGACACCAAGTCAGTTCCCCCCAGTGTCAGAATGCCCGCCTAAGTCCTGCTGATCGCAGCCATTACTAATAAAACAAAATTCCAGTATATATACCGGCATTTGTAAACGCTATAACTTTTCATGTAAACCAATTAGATTACACGTATTGGGATTTTTTTTAGCAAAGACATGTAGCAGAATACATTTTGGCCTAAACTTTTGACGTAATTTGATTTTTACTGCCAAACAAACAATCTTGACTGTGGTAACACCTTACCAGCATTAAATGAAATTTAGCAGTTTCGTGTTTTGTTAATTTAATATTTTCTACTCTTTTATTTATTTGGGTGTGGGGGGCACAAGTAGTTCATCTTGCCTAGGGCAAAGTAGTCTAGCACCTGCCCTGCTTCCATCACAGAAACATTGGCCACTCAGTGACACATATGTAAGACTTGTGGGTGTTAGAACCCACCCTTTTGCTGCTGCACATATGTGTTACGCGAGCTGCAACAGGTTAAACATTATAACACATTTGTTTAGTAACGCATTATACCTTAGACCCTATTCACGTTTGCAATGCAGGTGAAGGAAATCAGAATTAAGTTACAGTGCTCAGCATAAATGAATACACCCCAACAGATTTGTCAGAAGTTTTCTATGGGACACTATATTAAAAATAATCCCACAAATTTCAGTCCATTGATTGCAAACAAGATTTGTTAATTTTCACACACAAAAAAGCATTTTTCCTAACAAATTCATTCAAGACCATGTTGCAAAAATATAAATATAAATAAACAGCGCAAATTTAGATGATTAATCAATATAATAAATAATAAAAAATAAAAAAGGTGCATAAATTAATCGTGTTTGTCCTTAATCTTAAACAAAAACACCCAAAAGTCCATGTGCTGAAAACATAATTAAATTATTGAAATAAAAGTGCAAACTTCTTTTCTTCAAAAAATACTTTCACCTTCCACCCGTGCACAAACCAACATCGAATACACTCACCAGAACTTGGTGAGTAAAAGACCTTTAAGGAATTTTTAGGGATCCTAAACCCTCTTTGGTGCCACGCTAGGGAAAATCTTCACCCTCCGAATAGACTCCACCATCCAACCAAAAGAAAAAAACTCACATAGCATAATATTGTCACACAATAGTAACTTTTTCCAAATGGAGATTAAGGCCACTCACATGTTAAACACTTGCTAAAGGCATGTTTATTATGTATAATAGGCTTCAGTTCCAGCAGATATACAAACTTTTCCTTCCAGGACTCTCACATCCACAATGGAACAAGGACAGGACTCCTCTTAGACCAAACAGTGAACCAAGATGGCCGCTGGAACGCACCGCTCAGCGTGCGTTCCACTCACCGGAAATGACGTCAGGCGCATGGAGTGTGGACCGGAAATGCGTCAACGCGTTTCGCCCCTCCCATAGGGCGTTATCTTGGAAAAGTTTGTATATCTGCTGGAACTGAAGCCTATTATACATAATAAACATGCCTTTAGCAAGTGTTTAACATGTGAGTGGCCTTAATCTCCATTTGGAAAAAGTTACTATTGTGTGACAATATTATGCTATGTGAGTTTTTTTCTTTTGGTTGGATGGTGGAGTCTATTCGGAGGGTGAAGATTTTCCCTAGCGTGGCACCAAAGAGGGTTTAGGATCCCTAAAAATTCCTTAAAGGTCTTTTACTCACCAAGTTCTGGTGAGTGTATTCGATGTTGGTTTGTGCACGGGTGGAAGGTGAAAGTATTTTTTGAAGAAAAGAAGTTTGCACTTTTATTTCAATAATTTAATTATGTTTCAGCACATGGACTTTTGGGTGTTTTTGTTTAAGATTAAGGACAAACACGATTTATTTATGCACCTTTTTTATTTTTTATTATTTATTATATTGATTAATCATCTAAATTTGCGCTGTTTATTTATATTTATATTTTGTGTTTTCACGATTGGCACAGCAGCATTTTTAGAGTGTTATTTGGAAAGTTTTGGCGCAGGATTAAGTTTTCTTGTATAAACATGTTGCAAAAATGAATACACCCCAATGAATGTCTTAGAAGTAAAGCTAAATTTTAGGCTATTTGGCACAGAGAGCAAGCGTTTTAAGTGTTGATTTGGAAAGTTTTGGCGCAGGATCTAAGTTTTCTTCGTAAAATTTGCGGTGCGGTTGCAAAAATTGAGCGGTACACCACCAAATGCATTATAGGCGTTTGTGGGGCGTTAATGCGGCGTTTGCGGAGCGTTTGCTGAGCGTTAGAAACACCGTAAAGCTTAAAAAGCCTAGTGTGAAAAGACAACAAAATCCTAATTAACAAGAATTCAACTCAAGTGAGTCTAATTATTCATTAAACAGGCGTCCAGCAGACAGTTGATTATAAAAGGATATTACTTAACAAAGAAAACCCCTTCCCATTTCATGCCTTCAGCAGTGGCACCACATGGAAGAGAAAGGCCACAAGGCCTGAGAAAGAAAATAATTTCTTTACACAAGAAAGGTGAAGGCTACAAGAAGATCGGCAAAGCTTTACTTATCAGTCAGAATACTGTAGCAAACGTGATACAAAAATTACAAAGCTGGAACTGCAACCATCTCACAGATGTCCAGGCCATCAAGGAACATTAACACCTTGACAGGAGCATCTTCTGATGAGTAGGGTTGAAGAAAATCACCATGCAAGTTCACTGCAGTTAGCAAAAGAAGTAGAAAGCCAAACTGGGGTGATTGCTTCCCGTGACACAATACGACATACACTGCAGAAGAATGGCATGCATGGGTGTCCATGAAGGAAGCCTTTCCTAAAGCCCATGCACAAAAAAGCCCATCTATAATTTGCCAGGGCCTATGCTGAAAAAGAAGACGACTACTGGGACTCTGTACTCTTGAGTGATGAGACCAAGATAAATGTTTTTGGAACTGATGGCTTCAAAACTGTATGGTATCGCAAAGGCGAGGTGTACAAAGAAAAATGCATGGTGCCTACAGTGAATCATGATGGTGGCAGTGTCCTTCTGTGGGGCTGCATGAGTGCTGCTGGTGACCGGGAGCTGCATTTCATTGATAGTATCATGAATTCACAGATGTACTGTTCTATATTGAAAGAGAGGATTTTACCATCATTACGTGCCCTTGGTCATTGTGCACTTTTCCAACATGACAATGATCCAAAACACACATCTAAGGCCACTGTTCCATTTCTGAAGAAGAACAGGGTGAAAGTGATGCAGTGGCCAAATATGTCTCCTGATGTGGACCCAATCAAACATGTATGGGGAATTCTGAAGAAACAAGTTGAGCATCACTCTCCATGCAGCATCCAGGCTCTAAAAGAGGTCGTTCTTGAAGAATGGAAAAAGATAGATGTTGCAATATGTTACCAACTTGTTCATTCCATGCCTAGAAGACTTTAGGTACTGTCCTTACAAATCATAGAGGTCATACAAAATACTAGATGGATTAGTTTGTGTTGGGGGGTGTATTAATTTTTGTATCACCTAATTTGAGTAAAACTGAAGATTTTGTAATCTACGATTATTAACCTTACTTTCATGTTGACAGGATTAAATGGATTATAACTGAATCCATTTTGTATACACTAATACAAGATGCTAGTTTAACATACATATATATGAGATTTGTGCACACTAACAAAACTGTCTATGCCAGCTTCATGTAGAAATAAGTGTTTTTGCAAACTTTACAAAAAAGCAGATAAGGTTTACTCTCATTTCTGAAAAGTTGTAACCACAGCTTGGGCGTTGGGTCAGATTACAGCCATGGTCTGGGCATTAGACCAGATATGGTGTGACAGATAAAGCAGAAGAGTGAAAATGCAAACCTCATACAAATAATTGTTGAGTTAAGGTAAAAAAATGTACATGTATTTGATTGGATGGTCTGAGGGTGTGTTTGCCCAAAGGCTACAGTATAAAAATCCTGATGTTATGCCAATAAAACTGAAGTGTTTGCAATCGCAACTGAGGTGACTTGAGTGCATTCACTTTCCGAGATCTCGTAGCTGTGTCCAGGTGTGAACGTTGGTATCTTGAGGGGGCCCCCAAGGAACAGGAAAAAGACCACCTACCTATTTGCACATGTAATGAGCTAAACAAATGTTCTATTAAACTTTTGTCAACATTTTGGAAATTGTTCTTGTGTTTATTGAGATATTGATTATGGTAAAATGTTATAATCCTATACCCACAGAGGAAGGTAAAAAAAACCCAGCAAAGCATGATCCAATTTGCTCCTGCTGGGAAAAAAAATTCCTTCCTGATCCCCTGAGAGGCAATCGGATATTCCCTGGATCAACTTTACCTATAAATGTTACTATCCAGTTATATTCTGTGTATCTAAGAAAGAATCCAGGCCTTTTTTGAAGCAATCCACTCTGCTGGCCAGAACCAACTCTTGAGGGAGTCTATTCCACATTTTCACAGCTCTCACTGTGAAGAAACCTTTCCGTGTTTGGAAATTAAATTTCTTTTCCTCCAGAAGTAAAGAGTGCCCCCTTGTCCTCTGTGATGACCTCAGGGTGAATAGCTCTACACCAAGTTCACTATATGAACCACTGATGTATTTATACATGTTGATCATATCCCCCCCTTAATCTCCTCTTCTCAAGAGAGAATAAATTCAGTTCCTCTAATCTTTCCTCATAGCTGAGCTCCTCCATGCCTCTTATCAGTTTGGTTACCCTTCTCTGTACTTTTTCAAGTTCCCCAATGTTCTTTTTGTGAATTGGTACCCAAAACTGAACTGCATATTCCAGATGAGGTATTACTAATGATTTGTACCGGGGTAATATGATATCTCTCTCTCTGGAGTCTATATCTCTTTTAATACAAGAGAGGATTTTGCTCACTTTAGAAACCACAGCTTGGCATTGCATGCCATTATTAAGCTTGTGATCTACCAGAACTCCCAGATCCTTCTCCACCATTGATTCCCCCAGTTGTACCCCCCCTAGTAAATATGATGCATGCATATTCGTAGCCCCCAAGTGCAGAACCTCACATTTATCAACATTAAACCTCATTTGCCACATAGTTGCCC